ACCCAGGCTGGCCCACCCCTCCTGAAGTCCCCCCCCCAGTGAGGGCACTTCGTTGGCAATGAATCTGAAAGAGGTTTCCTGCGGTGGCAAATGAGGGGGCCAGGCCCCAAGGAGAGGCCCTGGTCCCGGGAATGGCAGGAATGAGGCCAGGAGACATGACCAGCCCTCAGCCGCTGCTCACACAGGCCTCCGGAGGCCCTGCCTGGCCAAGTGGCATCTGAACAGGACTCTCACACTCCCCAGGCTTTGCAGGTCTCAGCCCTCCTGGCCATCTGCTGCACTGTGTGACCTGACATGGGCCCTGCCCCACAGGAAGCCAGTGACACAAGAATCTGTGACAGAGGGACCTGTGACACTCCCCAGGTCAGAGTTTGGGACAGACAGAGGGGCAGGGGAGCCAGCAGGACTCAAACCACCCAGGCAGGGCCACATGTGCCCGGTGGGAGAGGGCAGGGGCAGCCCTGCTCCTCCGAGGGACTTCCTCACGGGTCGAGCATGGGACTACTCACTCACAGAGTGTCCTCCACTCCTAAGTCACCCCTGTGGCTAACAGTTCGTTTGGAAGGATTGGGGTCAGAGGGGGACTGGACAGGAAACTTGGCAGTCTCCCTGCTGACCGGGGCGCGGGGTCCAGCGCCGGGGCTTTTGCTGGCCTGGGGCTGCCCTGCCCCCTTACCAGCTCTGCTCATCCTGCGGTCACCCCCAGCCCCGGCTCAGGAAGCGCCCTGCTGTATTCATGACTCTTCAAAGTTGCTCAGAAATCTTATCACCAAACCGCCTCATTTCTAAATATGACCTGTTTGCAAGCGCCCGGGAGGGACTCACAGACGTGACTCTGGAAGATGTCCCTTGTGGAAAGGGACCACTAACTGGCCAGCACCTCCAAACACAGAGGACGAGAGGGAGATGCTCGGGCGCTGGCACTCAGTCCCTCTCTAGCCATTTGTCCCTTTAAAAACAGTGGAAGGCCCTGGCCGGTTTGGCTCAGTGGTTAGAGCATCAGCCTGAGGACTGAAGGGTCCGGGGTTCGATTCCAGCCAAGCACATGTACCTCAGTGGCAGGCTGGGTCCCAGGCCCTGGTCTGGGGAGCATGCAGGAGGCAACCAATCCCTGTGTCTCTCTCACATCGATGTTTTTCTCTCTTGGTTCCACTTTCTCTGAAAAGCAGTAGAAAAAATATCCTCAGGTGAGGCTTGAAAAACAAAACAAAAAAAACAACCAAAAACCAAACAAACAAAAAATGGTGGAAGTTTGCCCAGACCTGTCAAGTTGCCAGGAAGCCCGAGCTGTGTCCCTGCAAGAACCTCGTTCCCGCACAGGAGCAGAACCACGCAGGACGTGGGACAGCTGGAGCCCCGTGGGAGAGGGACGCGCGTCTCCGCTAAGCACCCAGCAGCGTGCAGCTGAGGCCCTTCAAGAGAAACGGCAGCTCTGCCCTCCCAGGGCCTGGGAACCAGCAAGTCTTTGGCAAATGCAGGTGCAGAAACAAGGCCAGCCCACCGTCCACGCTCAGGAGACCGTGCCGAGTGGGCCAGGGGCCAGAACACACCCCAGACATTTGGTGTCACGGCTGCTGGCACAGGACTCAGAGGAATGGCCTCAGGAGGTGGAGTGATGCCCATCAGGTGCGTGTTCTGTGGGACTTACCGGGGGCCGTGGGGGTCAGAAGAGGGTGCTTTACGGGGGCTGTGCTTCCTCTGCTCCTGTTCTGATGCCGACAAACCCAGATGGCTGCTGCCCGAGCCTTGGGGTCTGAGTGGAGACATCTCCTGGGTGGGCAGCAAGTTGTCCTGAACCTGCCACCTTTGAAGGCAGGTGGCGTGGCTGCTGCCCCCCGACTCCTAATGCAGGCTGGGAGAGGCCCCTGGGCACAGCAGGTCCAAGACAGGGGCTTCAGGAAATAAATGGCACTTCAGAAAAGGGGAAAGGCGCCCGCTGTGATCAGTGCGCCCAGCGCCCTCTGCCCCAGCGCAGGGAAGGCGGCGGAGGGCAGCCTCGCTCTCCCTCTGCTGCCTGTGGCTACCTGGGGAAGGGGCTCTCCACACAGGGCACCTGCAGCCACAAGCCCTCAGCGCGGGTAACGGGGACCCGAAGCTTAATTGTGCCCACGAAGCCACAGCCCAGGGACTGACGTACAGACAGACGACAGTGCCTGCCACTCTGCCAACCCTATGCCACCGAGTCTGGGTTTCAGATGCAGCAGCACAAGTCTGGGAGCAGGTATGGCTCTGGCGTGAGACCACAGCCGGACAGGGACAGCGCCGCTCCGCCCCCTCCTCCAGCCCTGCCCTGCCCCTCCAGCCCTTGGCCTCCCTATCTCGCCCTGCACCGCCATGACTGCCCATGTCCTAGGGCCACAATGCCACTCCAAGTGGCACTTCTGCCAGGACTCCTCCTTGGATGCCTTCCCCTGGCGGCCCCTGCCTGACCCCCACCTTGCCAGGTCCCTCCTCCAAGCCGATTGCCAGGTTGGGATCTGGCCTGGGTCCCTATGGCCCTTTGCTCAGACCCTGGGAGAGCAGCTGGCCCACTCCCACCTGCCACCACGCCCAGACTCCTCAGAATCTGTCCAGCAAAGACGACATCACCACCGCTAATGACAGCGCCTCCGAGCGGTTCTGCGGGCAGCAGCTGCCAGCACTTCCACAGCTCTCTCCTGAGCCCTTTGCCCGATTGCCCATAGGTGAGGAAACCAAGGCTAAACCAGATCAGCTGGCTTCCCAAGCATGGGGTGGGAGGGCAGCCGGCGGGCACCGGGCAGCCTGTGGGCATCACGGCAGAGGAGACAGACCCGGCTTCTGGGGACACGATGCTTTTTGAGAAGCCAGTGCAGGGGACTCTCTTCAGGAAGATGAGGAACCAGCACTCAGGGAACCCGGAGGCAGCTGAGGCCCACCGAGGCCCCCGGGAGGTCATGACCTGAGGTTCCCGCCCCCTTTAATAGGGGGGGATGAGACAAAGGGCTGGGACCTGACAGCCCTGGAGTGAAGGGCGGGAAGAAGGGGGGTCAGGCAGCTGCTGAGCCCCGGCCCCTCCCTCGGCTCCCCCCAGTTTCCCAGGAGTAACGTTTCTCAGGGATGTTTCTCCAACTCCCTGCACCCAGAGGGTACACACACAGGAAACTACTTTGGGGGTGAAGGAAAGAGACACACTGGGCTTTCCTGAGTGGGTGCCTGGCAGGCTTGCCCCTGAGAGACCCCCGTGTCTTCCCGGCCCTCTCCCCTGAAGAGGCACTCACCTGGATGATGACCTTGATGGCAGCCATTCCTACGACAGGCGTGCACACCAGGCTGCCGGGGTGCTGCCCGTCAGCCCCGCGGTTCTGCTGGCCCATGGTGAAGAGCATGGGCACAGCCAGCAGGCCGGCCGTGATCCAGATGGCGCTGATGAACTTCTTGGTGCGGCTGCGAGACATGAGGGTCTTGGCCTTGAAGGGGTGGCAGATGGCGAGGTAGCGCTCCACGCTCAGGCTCGCCACGTTGAGGGCCGTGGCGTAGGTGCAGGCGTCCCGGAGGAAGTAGTAGCCCCGGCAGACAGCGTCTCCGAAGGCCCAGGGGTGATGCACCCAGATGAAGTTGTACAGCTCCACCGGCATGGCCAGCAGCAGGATGAGCAGGTCGGACAGCGCCAGGCTGCCCAGGTGGTAGTGCACCGTGCCCTGCAGGCTCTGCAGTGACTTCTTGCGCGCCAGCGTGAACGCCGTCACCGAGTTGCCCACTGTGCCAACCACAAAGAGTGCCAGGTACACGGCAGTCACCAGAGCCTTGGAGTAGATGTCCGTGTCCACGTCCAGGTCGCTGCCGGGCCAGGCTCGCTCAGGCTCTGAGGTGTTGTCTGAGTTCGGGGCCAGCAGCGCCTCCTCCAGCCCCGACGGTGGCAGCGGGAAGGGGTGGGCACCCCGGGAGCGGGGCGCTGAGCTATTGAGGCGCATGGTGGGTGCGCTGGGCTGGGCACAGTGCTGGTTGGAGTCCGGAGCTCTGTCTAGTGCCTCTGGTGGAAATCCAGAGGGATTGGGCGTGTCTCAGGCAGGGACGGTGGAAGGAGCCAGAGGGAGGGCAAGGGGGTGCGCTTCCAGCCGGGGAAAGCCCCACCAGACTGAGCCCCCTGGAGCGCTAGGGACTTGTGCTCACCCGGGGCTCCAGGCTCCGCTCCTCCTCTGACTCCTGGCTCCCGACTGCAGGTTCCTTCGGCTCTGCTCCTACCCTGGCTTCTCCAGACCCTGCAGTTCCTGCCCTTCCCGGCCGGCTTGGGCTGTGGGGCGAGCCTGTGGCACAGAGTGGTGCACACTCACGGCTGCCTTGCCGCTCTCCCTACCTCGCTCATGCTCTCCGCGCATGCACACCCCGCACATCTCCCCCCCCCCACACACACCCTGATGGGCTCCCCACCGAGACTGAGCGGCGGCGCCAAGGGGGGGCTCCCAGCCTAGGGGGGCGCTGGAAGGGGTTAGGAGGCGGCCCTGCAGGATCCCAGGGGCAATAGGGCTGCAGAGAGTGCCCCAGGGAACTGGATTCCGGTGGGTTGGTAGGGATGTTGTTGGCTGTTTCCAGGCACCCTCCCCCAGGCAACACGCCCTCCTCTCTCCGCCTTTCCAACTTTCACGCCCCCAGGAAGGGAGCTGCCTCCTCCCCGCTCCTTCAACTCCAGCTTGCTCAGCAGGGGAAGGGGACAAGGGGGGGCTTCCTGAGGGGATGGCTGGGCCACCTCTCCTTCTGGGGTGCCTGTCTAGTTTCGTGTGAGAAGCTGGGTGCCTGGGGCTCTGGCACAACTAGGTGGGGTGGATGAGGGGGGCAGAAAGCAGGGAACAAAGCAACACCCCTCTGCATGCAAGCTGGGGTCCGGCACCAGGTGCCCCGGGGTGGCCGCTGTGGGTGGGAGTGGGCACTGTGGCTGCCTTATCACTACCTGGATTTGGTCATCAGAAGTCACCCTGAGAGTCTGTGCTAGGTGGGGTTTGGGAGGGGTGGTCTGGAGTCACAGCCTCAGGGCCTGTCCCTGTCCCTGTGTGGCTGGCTGGCTGTACCTGCTGTACTGGGAATAGGAAACCAGTAGGCTGAGGACAGTGTGTGTGTGTCAGGGGTGGCAGTTAAGTTAAGGGTGTGAGGCCCAGGAAGCCCCCCTCAGCTCAGAGGAAAGTTTAGTCTAATAAGCTGGCTGAAGGCCAGCCTGGGTCAATATGTATTCCTGTTTTCAGCTGGCTTGGGCTTGCCTGTTCCACCAAAACCTATGTTCTCACCAGGGAGTCCTAGCACGCGATATTACGTGCTGAGCATTTAGCTTTCAAAGCAAACACCAGTGTCCCTCTGCCAGAGGCCAATACAGCTGGTTCAGGCCACACGTGCTCAGACTGGACCCTGCTGCTTGACTGGGCCAGTGTTTCTGCCTCTGTGCCTCAGTTTTGTCCTGAATGGGCAGGTGCTCCTGGAGCCAGGCTGTTACTGAAGCTGACCGTGTGGGCACACAGTAGGTGCTTGGCGAGCAGCTGTGCATCAAACGCTATTGAGCTACCCGTGTGGCACCTTCAGGGGGTTGCAGGTGAAGTGCCCTGGCCAACAGAGGTTGCTTTAAAGCCCCACCGGTTAGACCATGTTTGCTCTCTGGTAGACAAACCCACCAGTCAAGAGATCACGGGGTTGGGACCTGAGTGTCCAAGCCACAAAAGGACGTAACGATGCCATCTTGAGACCCAAGGTGCTCGTTGCATCCCTGCCATCCCAAGACTCATGGTAACATCGGGTCTTGCCAGCAACGGTGCCCTCTGCCCTCCTCTATTGGTAGCCCCTCAGGGGAAGGCACCAGCTGGTAGCCACCAGGGCCTGTCCCTTTGCTGGCCATTAGCTGTAGCTGCTCAGGGCGATGCCCGGCTGCCTCATCTCACTGGTTTTCAAATCCCTGACCTTTCTGCTAAGCCGGCTTTCTTTTCAAAGGTTTCTCTTTGAGCCAGCCTAGGAGCTTAGAAAAATCACAAAGGCAATTTAGCACAAATATTATGACAAGGCATTTGTTTAATACCACCCAGGAAATGTCATTTGGGGGCCTGTTTTATTAAGTGGGTGGCAGGCCCTGGTCCGGGCTCCCTGGCAGCTGGCTGGGGACTGCCCTTCGGTGCACCGAGGAGCACGCACAGCACAGGCCAAGCCACTAGCTCTAGGTTCTTTGCCCTTGGGGAGGGCTGCCCCGGGGCTGTGTCCGTTGGTGACCGGCATACAATTGGCACTCTGAGGGCTTTAGGGGAGCGAGCTCTATGGCCAGCTAGAGAGCCTTGGGGGGCTGCTGCCCAACCTGACACTCCAAATGCTGAGTGAAGCAGGAGCTGGCCTACCTGGTGGGCAGCAAGGGCCAAGATCTGTTCACAAAGGTCTGATTCCCTGGGTGAAGCAGGGATTTCGGCTGAGGGGGATGCTGGGATGGTGCCCGCTTTCTTGGGGTCTCTAATGTGGCGTCCTGGCTGCTGAGCAGGGTATTATCTGTGCCCTGGGGGCCAAAGGGAAGATGCCTGGGTGGCCTGGCCAGGGCTGGGTCCCGTCATTTCCTACATTATACCAGCCCCTGCTGCTGCCTGCTGCACAGTTGGGTTTGTGGACTTTTGTTTGTCAACCTTCACCCCACGATATGTTTTCCATTGATTTTTAGAAAGAGTGGGAGGGAAGGAGGGAGAGAGAGAGGAACATCGATGTGAGAGAGGCACATCGATTGGCTGCCTCCTGCATGTGTCCTGACTAGGGCAGGGGATGGAATCTGCAACCCAGGCACGTGCCCCTGACCGGGAATTGAATCCGAGACCCTGTGGTGTGCTGGCTGAGCTCCAACCACTAAGCCGCACCTGCTGGGGCTCCATGGACTTTTCTGAACTAGGAGGAGAGAAGACCACGGAACCCACGGCCAGAATGTGCCATGCCCACTGTGATTCCCAGGAGGTTTCCAGATGAGAGGGAATCACCGCGAAGCGGGGGACAGAGGGCCTACCCCGCCCCCGTGTGGCCCCAGCCCCACAGCTGTGGGGGTGGCTGCAGGGCAAGGGGCAGTGGTCTGGGAGAGGTTTCCCTTCTCTGGCTACAAGAATTCACTTCTTGGAGTCACAGGGTCATGGGGCCCCTCTTTTTCCTCTGGTCTCCTCACCTCCACTGGGCAGCTCTTGCTAGCAAGAGGGCTTCTTCCTAAGTTTTAAAAATAAGTTCCCAGCCACACCTGTACCATTATCTATTTACTTATTGCTGCCTAACAAAGTGCCCCAAATCGAGCGGCTGCGGACGACAAACGTCATTATCATCATCACCATGGTGTTCATTGCCGGCTGCAGGAGGGCGGGGTGCGGGTTTCCTGAGACGCTCAGCGTGATATGCATAATTTGTAGCATTTGGCTGGAGACTCTCCCACCGGCGGCCTGGAACTTGTGCATGTTTCAGGATGTACAGAATTCCAAGGAGGATTTAAAAATAGATCAACACATGTACAAACGTAAGCAGAGTTCGAGCATCGCGGGCAGAGGGGCAGGCGGGGCCTCCCTCCCCCGGCCCTGCAGCGCTCAGGGGTATGGGGGCTGCTGGCGCCTCTGAGGCCCAGCCCAGTCCCGGGGAGCCTGGGTTATCCCGTCCTCACCCCTCATGTTCTCAGGTTGCCCCTCAGCAGTTAGCCGTCCTCCTGGAAACGTGAGCCACATTCACTGGGGGGAACCAGAGGACCGCCAAGGCGTGGCTGCCCGAGAGGGACAGGCCACCACAGGGCTCAGGGTGGGCGCTGGCTAGCCGTAGCTTGAGCCCTACATCCGCCATCCCCCGACCGTGGGCTCCGGGTAAATAAACAGGATAAGCTTCAGTTTCCTCATCTGTAAAATGCAGACGACACGGCTCTATGTTGTTAGGTTGTGCGAGCACCATGAGACAGGTGCCTGACCTCGTGCCCCAAGGTCACCGCCCAATAAATGCCAGGCTTAACAGTGGGCTTGCTGTGCTATGAGCTGGAGACCCAGGCAGGGAAGAGCGGGTGGCAAGTCCCGATCCCTCCTCAGGGCCTACCGTCTGTCTGCTGTCCGTCCGTCTGTCCCACATTACCGAGTGTGGTCACCACGAGGTGTCGCTGAGACACCCTCCAGAAGCCTTCCACTGCAAGGGAGCGTTTCAGGATGGAGAGCGTGGGGTGTGAGGGGAGGAGGGCTGGGGGCCCTGCTGACCTGGGGGCATGTGGCAGTGGGTAAGGATGGACGGAGAGGCCAGAGGGCTCAACTCCTGGGACCCCGGAGTGCAGGCAGAGGCTTTATTCTGTGTGTTGCAGGGTCCATTCGGAGGCTGGTCCCTCTGGGAACCCTGCTCTCCAAAGCACTTGGTGAGGTGGCCCGGAGGAGGGGACAGACCACGGGAGGGGGGGCATTGCCACAGCTGTCACTTCTCCCCCAACAGAAGCAGAGCCCCTCTCCTAACCATCCAGACCACCTCGCCACACTTCTCCCCACTTGCTGAGCAGAACCACTTAGGAGGTGGCAGCTGTTGGCACTTCTTGCAGAAGGGGATGGGACGAGCTGGGGGTCCTGGGGATCCAGCAAAGAGACTTGCAAGGAAAGCTGGTGTTTTGGAGGAGATAGGCGTGTTAGACAGTCATCTCTTAAGGAGGAAGAGAATCCGGTATCCAAAACAGCTTCAGGGCAGCCCCGTTTCCTAGGACTTACTCTTGGGGAGGTTGTGCTACGACACTCATTTCTGGCCGATCCACAGGAGGTGGTTGTCAGGATTTCCTTTGAAGTTGCACAGGGGCTTCTCTGCACCAGGTTGGAAACTGACAAAGTAACACCCCCTCCCCAGGCCGTGGCCTCCCTCCGTGCCCCTCCCGCACCCCACCCAGGTCCTGCTGGAAGAAGGCATTTTCTTTTGCAGATTTGCTCTTGGACAACAGACAAACACACAAGCAGCACGCCCAGCACAGAAGGACACAGTTCCA